AAGGCTTGTCCTGAGGAAACCGAGGCCCAAAGGGATTCTGCCCGCTCCAGGAGTACCATTACGCAGCCTGTTAGTAACAGTTGAGACAACCCTCTAGCCTTCTATATGGAGAAACTGAGGCCCAAGTGGTAAATGCTTTTCCCAAAGCCACAGAACAAGTTAGAATTGAAACCTAGTATGGCAGCCTGGTAGGGTCTGGTGGGCTGTGGGGGCTCTCTGACCCAGCCACTCTCCTGTTTTTTAGAGTCCTGTAATGGTTTAGACGAGAACGAATGGCGAGCAGTCTCTTCTGGTCTATCTTGAATTTCTGCTCTTCGGGATTTCTTTTCTTCTGTCTGTAGCTAGGTGGTCTTTGGAGGGCAGTTTGGGGCTACAGCCAGTGTGTTAACGTTCAGGCTCAAGTGTACAGGGGGGCAATCCTAGAACAGCGTCCACTGCTTGGCAGGTGCTACATCCAGGAAACTGTCAGAAAACCCTGCCAATCTTCTTCTTGCCTGGAGCATTGTTTAGGACGCCAAGCTTTGCTCTTGGTGTGATAGGGACTCAGTGGCTGTTCCTCAACGCAGCTCAGCCAGACCAAAGCTCATGTGGAATCAGACCCCTATGTGTCTTTTGCCTGAGGTGTTCTGCTGGTACTCAGAGGACACCTAGGAAGCAGGCAGAGGGTCACCTAAGCCATCTCTGGGAGAACAATGCTGCATTTTCTCTGTGCTGTGTGGAAGGCTTCCTGGAAAGTCACATTGGCATGAACAGATCTGTGTGGGCTTGGCTGTGTGCACTTGACACATTGGAAAGTGTAGGTAGCTCAGAGCCAGGTAGGACTGGGACTTGGTGACTGTAAGTATCGTGCCAGAGGCTGGCTTTGCCCTGTCAGACAGAGCTGTGTAGCTTTCTGAACACTAAGAGCCTGTGCCCCCAAAAGGCCAGGAAGCTGAACATTCTCCTGGGGAGAAGGTGTATAAGCTTGGAGGGGCTCTAGACAACCAGAGGGCATCGAACGAGTGGCAGGCACTGCCCTTTCCTGGTGAACACCTACCTTCTCCCTAGGCTGGGTGACCACAGGTGCGCAGGCTGGAAAATGTCATGTAGGATTGCATGGATCACATGGCTAAGCCATTTCAGGAGAGTTGGGAGGAGGATGTCCTTATCTGTTTTATGGTATTACAATGAAGTACAGGAGACTAGGCAGGTTATCATGAACACACATTCATGTCTCATAGTCTGGGACCTGGAAGTCCATGATTGAGGCCCAACTGGACTCAGCAGTGTGGTGAGAGCCCTGATCCCTTAAGGGGAGGCTGCTGTGCACTCAAATGCCATGGTGGGGCAGAAGGTAAGCAGGTGGCATGGGTGAGAGACCCAAAGGGTATAGTACCTTTTACAATGACCTTAGTCCCTATTCATAAGTGGAAGGATCTTATAGGGTATACACCTAAATTTTGAAGGGACTGTATGTTGGTATGGGTGGGGTCACAGGTCACATGAGGGACAGCAGTCCGAGCTATCTTTGTCTGGGCAATTGTAATAAACTATATGGACACCCAGGATGTGCTGGGTGCTGGTTTTATGTGCCCATCTTGGGCTTTGCTGTCTGAGATGCAGAGGGTTCAGGGTAGCCAGGCACCTGGCCTCCTCTGATATTCTGCTGTCATCTTGGTTGTATTTGGCATGCTTTTCCCCTGCTCCCCCATGTGGCAGATGCTATTAGCATTAAGCTTTGGGTAGAGATGGACAGGGATGGAGGTGGATCTTCTTTACAGACTGAGCCATTTATGAAAAATCCTTCCTGTGCCTGGCTGTCCCTTAATTGGTAACAATGTATGGCACAAAGCAGACCTTGTTAGTACACTTGAGACTTCTAGACCCTGGAGGGCACAGAGCAAGGAGAGAGGAGAAAGTCAGCCTAAGGATCAGGCAGGTATCCATCACTAAGAATGGTGTTGGCAGGACCCTAGGCTTCATAGACCCACTGTCCTTAGTTACGCTGCTTCATTGTATTCTGGGTTCTCATCCATAAATGATCTGATGACAAGTCTGGGAGAGACCCATGCAAGGAATATTTAGCCCCAGGGCAGTGCAAACTGGGCACCAGTGTTACTTCTTGTGCTGGGTGCACTATTGCTGCTAAGCAACGAGGCCCCTAGGAGAGGTGCTGAGTTGGAACAGTGAACAGGAATCTCCTAGCAAAGAAGGGGAGGATGGAGAAGCCTGGGCGGATCAGGGACCAAGATCTGGTCTAGAGCACTGGCCACCACCAAAGCTCAAGGTGCCAAGGAGTTGGCAGGAGCTGACGACAGAGAGGGAGGGCACATTACTAGGGATGTTAACAAGCCAGGCTCTACCACCCATCCTCAAAGGGCCAACTAAAGCAATGTAACCACGATGGGAAGAGGAGAAAAAAGGCCCAAGTCCATCAAGGGCCTGACACGAAATTTAGCTTTAAATAGAGGGACAGAAGTATATACAAGCAGTTCCCACCCATCCTTGACCCATCATTGTCTCTGCTCCAATCTCTCCTGCAAGGTGGTCTGATGCATCCCTCTCACTGGCTGCAGCCTTCTCCTCCCAGCTTGGAATTCTTGGGGAAATTCCAATTTCTCAGGGCCCATTGTCTCAGTAGTCTGATAGTCAGAGGGGAGGGCCAAGTGTCCTTCAAAACATCTTAATTCCAGTCAGGATGGTTACAGCTAGACAGGGCTAGTGACCTTGAGCCTGACATCTGTCCATTGCCCACTTGGACCCGGATGGTCCAGGTTGCTGCTTACTCCAGGGTCATCATTTGCATAGGCTTCTAGGCTGCTATCTCTGGCTGCAGGGAATCCTCACATACAAGTGCCAGGCTTGCTCCATGCAGATGGAGATTGGCTCAGGCAGCCTCCCAGCTCAGCTGACAACACCGCCCCAGGACATTAATGTCTCAGCCTCCCTCACCACTGCACCTGTCATCGCCTCCTGTCCACTGTGAGTGTGGTCACTAACCAGCCTGACCACAAACCACAGTGTCTAGATGCCCTGGGCTCATGAATGTCTGGGGGGGTGCAGGGAGAGCTAGTGAGCCCCACTTGAGGGTGATATCTGAGAGGGGGGACTCCTGTGGCATTGGGGTCTCAGAACAGATTGGGTAGCAGAGGGAGACTAAGCCACCACTGGTTTCTGCTGGCTTCCACCTTCTTTATCATCCTGTATCACTTTACCTGGCAGACTGGTCAGTCTGTACTGAATGTTATCAGCAAGACCTCTTCTAACACCCTCCCCTGACTTACCTGGACTCTCAGGCCCTGTGTCTGCCCACACACACACACACACACACACACACACACACACACACACATCCACTGCCATCTTCTGTGACCTTCTCATCCTCTGGCCACCTTACTTTTTCCCCTCCCTTCTCCCTCAGGGTCTTTGCACATGTTCTGCCCACTACCCACAGTTCCCTCCCTCATCCTCACCTAGTAGGGTTCCTCTTCCTGGGCTTTGATGTCCCACCACCCTGAGCAACCTTCCCTGTCACTGTACTAGGCCTATACTACCTGTCCATTGACCCGTCTGTTCTTTCTGCTTCTTGCTCACTCTGGGCCTCATGGTAGAGGTGGGTCTAGCACCTGATTACATGCAGTGGGTGTTGTTATATGAATGCCTGAGCCCATGGATCCCTGTAGCTCTCCTGGTCCCTGTTAGATTGCTCCAATGGAAGAGATGGGAGCTGCCTACCTGCATGTTAGAAAAGCATTCCCATGAGAAGGGTCCTTTTGCTAGGATGACCAGCACTCAGGGATCTATTTGCAGGTGGTTGCCTGCTGTATTCCTGGAGTCTATGTCCCACAGCCCCTTTGTGACAGTAGATACCTACCTGTTTCTGGAACTTGGAACTGGGTGGGGCCTTGTGGAAGTTCCCACACAGATTTAATAGGCAGCTTTTAGTGTGCAAAGCCCTGCTGGCCTGTCGCAGCCTGTTTATGTAAGAGCTTTGGTTGGCTTTTGTGTTCAGTCTTCTTAGCAGCTTCTAGGGTCTTGGAGTTCAGCATTTGACACTACCCAGGCAAGATGAAGTGTCCTCTATCTGCCCCTCTGCCTGCTGGGACAGAAGAACTGGACAGCAGTACAGCTGTTGGTGAGGACTGGCAGGGTTTTTAGTGGCTTCATACATTTATTTGATGATGGATAGGACTGTGTGTCATGATCAGTTACAAGGAGGAACTCTGTGACCTGAGTCCAGAAGCACTGTCAAACCCAAGTCCCTTTCTTCATGTACCTTCCGGACATGCAGAGGTGGCCCTGCAGAGGATTGTGTGGGGATAATGATGCCTAGACAGAGTGACAGTCACCATGCTTGCCTGCCTGCTGACCCTGGTGTCCTATACCACCAAGAGTCTGTGTGTGCTCACTGGCCTATAGGAGCTCTCTAGACACAGTGAGGCAGGTGGCCTCCTTGACCTTCACTGTAGGCAGCAAACCTGTGCAGATGTCACAGCGGGCTGGACAGGACATCTACAGCCTGGTGCTTTGGGGGAGGTGGCTACCATGGTGAACTCCTAGCGTCAGGTGTCTCAGACTCCTGCCATAACTTCCGAAGCCTTGAACTCATGATGGGGATAATGTTACAAGGACAGGTTGCAATGCTGTAGTGTGCCACCCTAGGGCTCTCAACAAGCCATGGTCCCCCTTGTAACAGTTGGAAGCTTCATATCAGTCCCAGTCCTCCCTCTCCAAACCCCACTGTCCTTAGAAAGACCACCAAAAGTCCAGGATCTTCCCACAAAGCTCAAGACCATAGCCACAGTGTATTTAAGCTCTGGTCCCTAGACCTGCTGTATGATTTCTCCTCTTCTCTTCCCTGCCTCACTTCTGGGGGCTTCAGAGTCACTTGAGAGTGCTTGGCTCATTAAATCTGGAATTTTTATTTGGCTTGATTTGGCTTACTGTGTCTGTGGAGAAACCTAATATTGGAGTTCAGAAAACCTATCACCTCTGACTCCCTATTGCTGGTCTGACATACCATGGTCATTGAGCCCCTTGAGGAGGTGGCTACCCTGCAGGACATTGGTGAGGAGGTGACTAAGTTATGAGTAACAGAATGCAGTCACAAGCCCCTGTTCTTGGGGCTGTGGAAGCATGACCAGGCAGACATGTATGCCTCAACTACAAGTTGTATCTGTTTATCTGTGGTGCCAGTGTGGCCTGCAGGTCACACACTCCTCCAGTAGAGGCTCTGTCAACTCAGTAGCCTCACCTCCTATCCCAGCTCCAGTCTTGGGCTCTTTCTCCCAGTGTCACTTGCCTTTGCACACATAGTCCCTTTGCCAGGTGTGCCGATTCCCCATTCCTCAAGACCCAGGCCAACAGGGCACCTACCCTAAGGTCACACTTGTACCCTCTCTAGAGTAGTGGTTCTCAACCTTCCTAATGCTCTGACCTTTTAATACAGTTCCTCATGTTGTGGTGACTCCCAACCATATTATTTCATTGCTACTTCATAACTGTAATTTTGCTACTGTGATGAATCCTTATGTAAATATCTGATATGCAAGCCAATTGTGACCCACAGGTTGAGAACCACTGCTCTAGAGTATCCTCAGTGCTTGAGTATTCAGGCTGGGCTGGCCATGGAAGTGAGCATCAAGAATGGAGCACACAGCCCCACAGCTTCAGCCCTGTTGCAGATTTCTTGCCCGGAGAGCCAATAAGTTCACTGTTTTTCCTCCTCCTAAAAGCTTGCCTGTTCCTAGGTGACCCATGTCCCCTGGCCACAAACATCAGCTTAAGATCTCTCTGTGGTTCCCAGGGAGTCATACTGCTGTCTGCAGCCCTCAGTCAGACCCAGGTCCTGCCTAGGAAATGGAAGATGGGAAAGCAGCTGCCCAGCTTGGAGCACACATACCACACACCACCTCTTCCTCACTGCCACAGCCCAGGGCACTGGCCCAGGTGCAGGGTATCAAGCACAGCACACCAGGTATAAGGCTCTAGACCCAGAGTCAGCCTCACTGAGCTCTCCAATGTGGATACAGTGGCTGTTTTATAGGTTGGGAAACAAGGCTTAGAAAGATCAGGTGGCCTGCCCAAGGCACAAGGCCAGACTCCTAAACCGAGGTACATCCCATCTCTGTGCTGCTCTGGAGGGTGTAATGGCTGGTTGGCTTCCAGAAGAGCCCAGCCTTGACCTGTCTCTGGCTTGGGGCCAGCCCAGAGCCTGTGGGCTGTGAAATTCCAGGCTCTGCTGGCTGAGCCAACCTCTGGAGGAGGTGCTGTCTGCCCGCCACTGTGCTGTGAGGCCATGCTCACTTCACAGAGAGTCCCTGCTCCCCTTATGGAATGCCCTTCCACCTGTGACTGAGTGGGGAGGGGCAGTAAAAAGTTCCAGGTGTGGGGTTCTTAATGCTGCCTTCAGTCGTCCAGCCCTGTCAGGAAACATGTGCCATGTCTAGATCTATTTGATGTCCCCCATTAGACCCCATACCACACCAAGCCTGTAAATTCATAATTGTGACTGGCTAGTAATCCAGGGAGGGATACCACGGCTGTCCCCCCATAAGGGAACCGAGGCACAGTGAACGCAGGAGACTTGTGGGGTCATTCTGTTAAGAAGTGACAGAGTTGGCTTCTTTATGTGTTGACTGTGTGCTGCTCTGGGCTAACGCACACAGTTGTACATGTGTACTGTACAACTCCAGGGGATATGGGCACAGATACAGATCCCCATTGATAATGCTGATGGAACTATGCAGTGTGTATGGTGTCTCCGTGATGTGTGTCTCGGTCATTCACATTCTGTGGCTTTGTTTCCTCATCTCTTCCATGGCAGTTTTGACTGTCCAAAAGCTCGCACATCATCCTGCTTGAAGGTCATCCATTGTCACTTGGGCAGGAATGTTGGCAATGGAGCCCTGAGGCCAGCTCCCCTCCCGGTGTTACTTCTTACAGCCCTTCCTTTCCTTGGAGGCCCCAGACACCTGGCCCTGATGGCTGTGCTCTGTCAGGCTGCCGAACAAAACTTCCGGGTCTCCAGATTCTGTTTATTTTTTAAAAACAAGCGCCTCCCCCCCCCCCCAGCCAACAGCTGAGTGTGCTGAGTGTGCCTTTAGAACTTGGCTCAGCTTGGCATGGGGGTGGGGCTGTTAAGAAACCCCAAATAAACAGTGCTGTTTCCTGGCCCAGCCAAGCCAGTTCATGTGGGAAGCCTGTGGTGGGGGCTTGGGGCCCTCTGTGTGACTCATGATGACTCATCTGAGAGTAGGGCCTGATGGATTAAAGGGCCATGCCTGTCGGGCTACAGGGTTCACTAACCTGGCACAGGGCTAGGCCTGCCATTCTAAGATGGCATTCACACTCAGCTTCAGTTTTCTGGCCTGTATGGGCCATGGCTAATGCTCTGTGGGTGGGGGTTCCAAAGCTGGTGACTGGGCTGAGCAAGTTCTGGTTTTGTGGTGTGGCTGGTGGCTGCATCCTCCTCCTCCCTTCTCCCAGGAAGCTCATGGGGTTGCCTGCTGTGCTGTCACTGCTGGGAAGTGGGGTGAGCAAAACATGTCTCTGTGCTGGGGAATGGGGACTATGTGTATTATCTCTTTGGTTGTTCTGTTGTTCTGGATCCTTGCTCCAGGCCTTTGAATGTCTCCAGTTACCTACCATGCAGAGTCTTAGCTGATGAGGTCCTTCTGAAGGCCTGGTCCTCATTCTGGAATGACAAGTGGCTTAAGAGCTTGGGGCAACACCATGGTGAGAGTGCTGACTGTCTTGAGCCTCCAGGTCAGCGCCCAACAGCCTGGGGACACAGGGACTGGGAGGCCTTGGCTCCTGCCTTGCTACCTATAGTGGGCCTGGCAGGTCATGTGGGCAGAGTCTAGGGAGGGGTCTATAGGTCCTGGAAGTGCTGATCCCCAAGAAGGACTCAGCAGTGAGGCAGACAGGGTGATCTGTTCTCCATGTTGTCTGCAAGAAGGGCGATATTCCCTCCTTCTCAGTCACAGACACACTGGGCCTAGGTCTTAACCCACTTAAACAACTTCTCTGATTACTTCCTGCCAGTCAGGGGCGGCTGGTGGCTTTGCCCACAGAGGAACCCTCTGCACACCCCATCTCACCCCAGGTTCCATTTGACCCAGCCTTTTAACACGTGTCCATCCCTGGCTGGTCACTTGCTGTCTCTCACTGCCAGTGGATGCCAGGTTGGGTTCACCAAGGCTGTGGGCAGGTTTGACTGGGTAAAGAGACGACCTGGCTAGGAATTGATTCATAAGCCTCTCTTTTCCCACCTTTACATTTGCGGCTCCATTCCCCCTAGGCTGCCACTGGGAGTCAGCTGTATGTGGGGACAGTGCTGGCCCACAATTAATTGTTTCAGAGCACAGGCTGTGGTCTGTACCCCTCTCATGTAGACATGTTTTTTTTTTCCATACTGTTTGATGGTGTGGAAAAGCAGGTTTATGAGAAGGAAGCTAATCCCTAGAGAGCCATACAGGGTCCTTTCACATCATCAGGTACCAGGGTGAGTGGTCGCTTCCTGGGACAGGGAATGTCACGGTTTACATTCTTATGAGTTCACCCAGGCCCCATGAGAGGTCATCTTCAGTCCCACTTGTCAGATGGGAAAGTCGAGGCCCAGAGAGGGAATGTGACTTGCAACAGGTCCAGCTGAGCCCAGTTGTGTGCATCTCCCAGTCCTGTGCTCACTTTAAAGCCAACGAAGCACTCAGAAGTAGTGCTAACCAGCATGGTGTCAGAGACTGGGACCTGGAGGTCTCAGTATAGGCTCCTGCCCACCCGCATGCCTCAGGCCTGTGGTCCTGGCAGGCCACAGTCCCTATGCTGATGGTGGCAGGAATCTGAGCCAGTGATTAAGGTTTGGGGGACATTTGTGAGCTGTCTGGCAAGTAGCCCTGGGCTATGGCCAAGTCAGACAAAGGCGGGTGCTCTGTCCACCCAGGAATCTATAGCCCAGCCAATGAGGAAGGGCCTCACAGAGGCCAGATGGGGGTGGCTCAGAAGAGGAGGCCTCAGGGACTTTCACTCTGCCCTTATCTATCAGTGCACTGGTCCTCAGGCAGGGAAAGGCAGATGGTCCACTCTCCAACATATTTCTGTTACATGGGAGCAAACAAGGATCCAGGGATTCTGGTCCCCAGCATCAGTCCTGTGCTTCCTGGAGCAAAGATCCAAACCTCTCTACAACTCCTGCTCAACCCTGAAGAGCCCAGAGGGGAAAATGTGCAGAGGCTCAACTCCCAGAAGTTCTAGTTAACCATTCTCCAGAGCAGGGACCACTATCTCAAATGTCTGGGTGTCCGTGTACTTCTGGGGAATGGGGTGCAGAGCATGTTGACACTGTCTTTGAGTCCAGGCAGGGGTCTCCAGCAGGGCCTCTTCCACCTTGGGCTTAGGGGCTTCTGGGAGCCAGCAGGTCTCATTGACACCCTTGGTCCTTGCCGCCAGCGCAGGTCTCCACCAGTTGACCAGCCCTCGGTACAAGTTCAACTTCATCGCTGATGTGGTGGAGAAGATCGCGCCAGCTGTGGTCCATATAGAGCTCTTCCTGAGGTACGTGGGGTCCCAAGTTGCTCTGCAGCTTCCCAGCCATTCCCATCTGTCCTGCTCCGGCTGTCACTCAGACTAGACCTGATTCCAGCAGCCAGAGGCATAGCACAGGTGGTGTGGGATGAGTAGCAACTATGGAAATCTGGAGGCTGAAGGTTAGCCTAAAATGAGAACATAGGAGTCAAGGAGATATAGAGGAATAGGGGACAGTCCCACTGAGGTGCCAGCTCAACAGGACAAAGTGTCTGAATCAGGCATGAGGGAGGACTCATGACTAGATGTGGAGGAGAGGGAGGACTGATTGAGTGGAGGTGGGTTGATAGGGAAGCAGGTTTGTCCATGGGAGAGGAAGCCCACTGTATAATGTATGGTCTAGCATCCTGGCAGGATCCCTCTTTACAGACAGGGAAAGAGCCTCCTCCTTCCTCCCACACCCAGTATTCTATCCCAGAGATGTTTGTGCTGGGTGAGGAGGCCCTGCCTTCCAGACACACCAGCCAAGGTCCCATCACTCACATCCGGTCCTGAGGTCTCAATTTAGACCCCCTAGAGAGAGGCCGGTTGTGTCAGGAGCCTCAAGATTCTAGACACAACAATCTCCACCCTTCTCGCCCTGCAGCTGAGTGGAGAGAGCCAGCTGGGATGGGGGAGCCAGACAGGAGCCCACCTGATAGGGATCAGGGAAGCTGGTGACCGGCTTATTAGTCTGACTCTGGTCTGGAGCCGCCTGGTTACTGATGTCAATCACCATCCCCTCCCTCTATGCTCCATGGCCAGCGAAGTGTCAGGCTACTCAACCTCCTGCCCACTAACAGTGGCAAGAGCCTCGCAGTGGCAAGGTGTGCATGGTGGTGGTGAGATATGGCAGGGGAGGAGGATGAGGCGGACTCATCCAGGGTCTAGCCTGAGCTCTGGACCTAGTCCATTTTGAGTCTGTTTCCTTAAGCTACCCTGGGGCTCCTGCTCTTCGACAAGAGAGGCAGATGTGGACTCAGCCCCAATGGGACTGTGGGACCCTTCTGCTTGCCATGTCCCTCCTGTGATTAACAACTTATAGACCTATGCTTCTCAAGGCCTTTCCACACACACACACACACACACACACACACCATTCCACCTGGAGCGGGGTTTGACTCCAGCCTGTCTGACCCTGGAACAGAAGCATCCTCCTGCCATGTGTGATTTTTCCCTGCCCTTGCCTTTGGCCCTGGGGTAAAATCTGAGACACATCATTGAGGAAATTACAAATGGATGCCCTAGGAGGCTGTCTCAACCAAAGGGGGCTAAGGAGGGACTGTGTATTTCCAGAGGGCCTGGGGCACTAACCCTGAGCTGGTTAATCACAGGTTAAGGCAGCTGAGCAGCAGTGATGTCTGACTCGTGAAGCCAAAGCCTCATGGGTGGGTAAGGTCCAAGTCGGGCAGACAGCACAGAGCCTTCCAGTCACGACCCTTGACCTGAGGGTATGGGTGCAGGGCTCTCTTGGGCCCTGTCTGCAGCCTTGAGTGGCTGGATGTAGCTGCCCTCCAGGGCTTCTCAGAGAGACGTGACTGGTAAGGAAACAGACACTGCAGGAAGCTAAGCAGCCTGGCATGGTGGGAATCTTGCTGTGCTCTGCCTCTTGCCTGACCCCAGCAAGTATGGGAGGGGAGGAGGATACCACATCTCTGGGCCTCACTCTCCCCTGAGAGTTTTGTATAGCAGTGGTTATCTAGGGCTAAGTTACAGAGTCCCACAGACTGGAGGATTAAACCCCATTCTGGAGGTTGAGGGCCATGATGAAATTATCTGCAGGACATCGCACCTGGATCCTGGGCCAGCTCTTAACTTTTAGTACTTCCAGGCACCCTTGGGTTGGAGTACATCCTCCCCACCCATCTCCCATGTCCCCCTTGTCCTCTTCTGGGTTCCTGTCTTCTCAAGGTACTGATGCTTGGACATAGGGCCCGTACTCCATCAAAATGTCACAGTCCTGCCACACTCACAGAGACCCACTTCCAAATAAGGTCACACCCATGGAGCTGTAGTCAGGACTTGATCACATTTGTTTGGAGGACACTGACCCACAAGTCTCCTGTGAACTTTGAATGAACTTGTCCCTGGCTCCAGCGAGCACTTAGGATGTTTGTTGCTTTCCATGGTCTTGCCAGGCTGAGGTGACATTTTGAAAAGACTGTCACATGCTCAAGAGTGCTAGATAGACACTTGGGCTCATCTGCTTAGTGTCCTCAGGGCCTGTGTACATTTTGTGTTACCCTGAGGAGGATCCTAAGCTGCTCCAGCCTTCTGCCCCCTCCCATCCTTAAGCAGATGGCCCATTTCTCAGATGAAAGACAAGCTCAGAGAGCTTACAGAGCCTGCCTGAGGGCAGCTAGGTCACAGGTGGGACTAGCAGTTAGTGTCCTGGCTGTTTGTCTCCAGGGCCCTGCTGTCAGGCATTGGCGCCACTGTGGGATAGTGCATGCTAACATGTCAACAAGTACTGTGTCTCACTACAGCAAACTGCAGATCAGAGATGATGGTCATATCTTTATGGCCATGAACTAGGTCCAGCTGCAGTGTTGCCAAGGCTATACCCACAAGTGACAGCCTCAGTTCAAACCCAGGTGGTGGAGGGAGTGGTCCCCCACGCCTGTTCCTTCAACACATAGGGCTCTACTCCCTCCACTATGCTGACTCCCCCAGGCCCAGGCCTGGCCCTGAGTGTCCCCTGTGCTTTCTTTGCAGACATCCTCTGTTTGGCCGGAATGTGCCGTTGTCCAGTGGTTCCGGCTTCATCATGTCAGAGGCTGGTTTGATTATCACCAACGCCCACGTGGTCACCAGCTCCAACACCGCCTCAGGCCGGCAGCAGCTGAAGGTGCAACTACAGAATGGAGATGCCTATGAGGCAACCATCCAGGACATTGATAAGAAGTCTGACATCGCCACTATTGTAATCCACCCCAAGGTGAATGGGATGGGGCGCCTCGGCCTGTCCCAGAAGTGCCCTCCCCAGATCGCACAGCTTTAATAGCTCAGCCTTCCCAGAGGATAGCAGCGATCTGAGGCCCAGGGCCACTGGTCACATCAGACCTAGAGCTCGGAATTGCCCTTGCCCAAGGTGCCAACACCAGGAGCAAGCAGGACACAAGAGGGAGGGGTTCAGCCTCCCATGCCTTCCCACCTCTTTATTGTCCTAGCCAGGCCCACATCTGGGGTTCCCTGTCCCTGCAGACTAACAGACCAGGGAAGTCAGTATCCACCTTCCACATCTGTTCCCATACTTACTCTGGCTATCACAAGACCCTTTATGGTCCCCGGAAGCTCAGGTGGTGTTCTTTCTGTTTGTGGCATAGCCCCTGGAGGGAGAACCCTCATCACCTAGACTGTTACAGGGAGAAATGGAGCCTTGGGAAGATTAGAATTCTCATCATTTGGAATCTGAGGGGAAACTGGGGCCCAGAGAGGTTAGACCTCAGACCTAGGACCACAGCTAACAGTGGCAGGCCCAGCGGGCCAGGCCTAGATACAAGTCATTCTCAAACTGGATTTATTGCAACCATTGTACCACTGCATGGCTCTGGGATGGTTATGGGAGTCTTCTGTGTCCCCTGCATCCACCATCAAACAGGTCACTGTGCTTTTAGTCAGGGACAGGCACATAATTTCCTTTACTTGTCTGTGTGCCTAGCCCATCCTGGATGCAGGTTCTCAGTGTACATGGTGACAGATGTTTGCAGAGTTCACTACCTAGATGGAGGATCCATAATGGACTACCCTGATACAGACCCTCTGTAGTCCTGAACCCTGTCATGAGCTGAATCTGGGTGCACCCCTTCCTCCTGATGACATAAAAACTGAGAGTGGGTGGGACACACAGGAGGGCTGAAGTGGCAGGAACTCTTCACACTGTGAAAGCCCACTTCTCTGTGACCAGCATGCAGCTCTACTGTGCTTAGAGTATCCAGGCTAGGAGGGGCTGCATGCTCAACCCTGTGCAGCTGCAGGAAGCTATAGGGCAGCACAGGATGCCACAGCCCTTCCACGGTTTCCATGGTGTTAAGAGCATAAATGATTGCTGTGGACATCAAGGACACTGCCCTGACGTGATTGGTAGAGCATGCCTGGCTTTCATTGGTAATACAAGCTTGATGTGTGTATCTCTCATCACTCCTCCCTCTCTGCAACTGGATTCCAGAGTTCATCTCAGTGTTTAGCTGTGGGTGTCTGCTTCTGCTTCCATCAGCTACTGGATGAAGGCTCTAGGATGGCATATAAGGTAGTCATCAATCTCATTATCAGAGAAGGACATTTAAGGTAGCCTCTCCACTATTGCTTAGATTGTTAGTTGGGATCAACCTTGTGGATCTCTGGACATTTCCCTAGTGCCAGATTTCTCTTTAAACCTATAATAGCTCCCTCTATGATGGTATCTCTTTTCTTGCTCTCCTCTATTCTTTCACTGACTCAATCTTCCTGCTCCCTCATGAAGAGGATAGAACTCAATGTGAAACTAGGCAGAAGAAACCCAAATTCAAAGGTCAAAATTCAGTTTCCACTGAATGCAAGTCACTTTTGCATCAACACACACACACACACACACACACACACACACACACACACACACACCTAGAGCCTCTGAAGCTCAGAACCTGTGCCCTGCAGCTCCCCAAACAGATACGCACATACACCTACTCTCTCGGACCACAGCAGCCGCAGAGCTGGATAACTGAGTTCACAGACAGATGGGCTCTGCTAGCCCTGTGTGAAACAGTGTTCAGGTACCTAGCATGCCAGAGATGGCAGGGCAGTGTTTCCTTCCCAGGCCTCAGTTTCCCTGTGTGTCTATATTAAGAGATCAAAGATTCCAAACTATGTTTCCCAGGCCCATGGCAGGGCTCTGGGGAGCTATATACCCCTCCTCCATGCCTCTGTTGGGTGCAGTATACTAAGCCTGGGGACCTGCAGAGAAAACTCTCACCACTAAATCTCAGGCTTAGCTGGGCAGTAGCACACCCCTTTAATCCCAGCACTTTGGAGACAGAGGCAGGTGAATCTCTGTGAGTTTGAGGCCAGCCTGGTCTACATAGTGAGTTCTATTGAGATTAGTCAGAGATACATAGAAAAACCTTGTCTCAGAAAATAAACAAAACTATAACAAACCCCTGGGCTCAAGGATGTCAGAGGCCAGGCCCTGTGTACATCCCCATGACAGACATTTGTGGCCTCCTAAGATAAGCCTTGGTTCTGTAGGCTCCAGCCCCAATCTCAGCCAGCTGCTGGCCTGGCCTCAGTTAACGTTGGCAACTTGCCTCAGCCTGGTCTTGGAGCTGTGAATAGCCTCCTTCCGCTCCAGAGACCAGCCCGTCAGATCCCTCTCTGTGGTCTGAGCCTGTTCTCTCTCATGCCCCTCTTTTCCTTCCAGAAAAAGCTCCCTATGTTGCTTCTGGGTCACTCAGCAGACCTGCGGCCTGGCGAGTTTGTGGTGGCCATTGGCAGTCCCTTTGCTCTGCAGAACACTGTGACAACGGGCATTGTCAGCACTGCCCAGCGAGATGGCAAGGAGCTGGGCCTCCGAGACTCAGACATGGACTATATCCAGACAGATGCCATCATCAATGTGAGTCCTGTGGGCAAGGCTGACCTCAGTGACCTCTGGCCATCTTGTTCCCTGTCCCATAATACAGCAAACCACTATCTGTGAAGGCCTTTCCTTATCTCATGTGGAGCATTCACCCAGTGACTACTTCCTAGATATGGGCCACCTTGGACAGCTGCAGAGATGGGGTGGCCCAGTCATATCCCTGGAAGGTCTTAGCCTTCCCCACACAGCTTGGCACTTTACTTGGATTAAGGTTATGTTGGATGGCACCACTACATTTACACAGCTCCAAGCCTGGGTGCCTTGGTATGTACCCCTGTGCTTGCCATGACTAGTTTCTGGAGCCATTTATGTCTGAGGAGACTACCAAACCTCAGACACTGCCTATTCTGCAGGTACCTAGCAACTGGTGAGTTGTGTAGACACAAAAGCACATGGTTTGTGCAGATACCCAGAGGGTTAATGAGATAGCTGCTTGCTGATGCCTGTGGGTTGAACACCAAGGCAGTGAAAGTCAATTCCAGTAACCCATCTTGTCACTGGCTGGAGTCAGTGGTAGGGAAAGAGCTTGGGAACCACCTGGGAGTTTGTGGCACAGCTAACACAGTGTTTCCCCCTTGCAGTATGGGAACTCTGGAGGACCCCTGGTGAACCTGGTAAGTGTGCACTAAAGTGGAGTGTCTGGTTTTTCAAGGCTTTGCTCACACAGAGGCTCAGTTTGGAGGTAGGGACAAGCCCCCTGGTGCAGCCATAGTAATTGCATGTCCAGAGATCAGTAGTGTGGCTGGAATGGAGTCCAGGAAGACCTAAGCACCAGGCCTGTGCTGTCTGGAACCTTCAGCAACAACTGAAAACAGCTGCCAGGCTGGGACCATGTGTCCGAAGGTGGCACTGGACAATGGGGGCACAGATCAGGCTGTTACTGCCCTGGGCTTTGCTGTCCTCACTTATAATTTAAGGGGAGAGGAGACCATCCCCATGAGTTATGTTACCCTCACTCCTGGAGTCAGGCCCTGCTTCATCCTGGCTGAGATTTTTCCAGAATAGGGCAAGGTTGGATCCCAGACTCTGAAGACTAGTGCAGCCTGCCCCAGGAAACTTATCATAGAATGGGTGGTGTCCAGACTTGGTGGGCCCATGTGCTACAGGAGTACCTGAGGAGGCTCTGCAGGGATACAGGCCTCATCACTGAGACAGACCAGGGAGGGATTCCTGGAGACGGCAGCATCTAGTGAGGGTGTGGAGGTGAAGGAATAGGTGGACAAGGGAATGCTAAGGATAAGACACAGCACGTGGGGGCACCCCAGGGTAGTGAAGACAGCATGGGCCACACCAGGGTAGTGAAGACAGCATGGGCCACACCAGGGTAGGTGAAGACAGCATGGGCCACTTCATGGGCTGGGGCTGTGTCTAGCTGGCACTTAGGCCACTTGTGTAGGTGGCTGTCTCCTCGACATTAAATATTTTCCAGGCAAAGCTGCTAAGGGAGAGAGAGATCCATGTGGTAGGGCCTGGGCTAGGTTCTCAATTTTCTGCCCTAGGCCCCAAAGAGCTTCCCTGACAAGCTGATAGTGCCCTGGTTGGGTTGTCTAGGGAAAGCATCCAGCAGCCCTCCCATGGCCTGGCATCTTTGTGGAGGGGTCCTGCCCAGGAGTGGGTCCCATTGACTGGACCAGCTCCTGCTCTGTTGTTGGCAATGGTCCCTTGAAGCTGGACAGGGTGGAAATCGAGCTCAAAACAGATTACAGACTGCTGCCCTGGCTCGGCTCACTGGTCTCTGCTTTCATAAGGAAGGGATAGAAGGGGTCTGCATCTCTGATGGAAACAGATGATGTCCTGAGTGCAGTGGATACTGAATCCTAGGGCAGAGATGCTGGGGCTAGTAAAGCAGGCTCAACCTAGTAACTTCCCCAAAGCCCTCTCCCGGGGTAAAACAAGAAGTCCCCAGGATTTGGAGGTTACACAGGGTAGGGGTAATGTCACTGACCCCAGTGTAACCCAGACAGCCAACTTTCCAGAGTAGCTGGGAGGTGCTTGGGGCATCTCAGTGGTGCACTGGCAGCCAGCTCTGCCTCTGGAAAGGGTGCTGTCACAGTCAGCTCAGCAGCAGTTGGTGGTTTGTTTGCATGCCTCTGAGTAACCTCATGCTCCGCTCACCCTGCCCAGGATGGTGAGGTCATCGGCATCAACACACTCAAGGTTGCAGCTGGCATCTCCTTTGCCATCCCCTCGGATCGCATCACACGCTTCCTCTCCGAGTTCCAAAACAAGCATGTGAAAGGTAAAGAACTCACCAAAGGGGCAGGTAAGGCAGGGCACTCCCAGGAGGAGGCCCAGTCCCACCCAGGTTAGCCAGGGATCATCTGCAGGGGCTATATAAGCCATGTTTACTCCTAGGTCCTTCACTCTCCCCAAACCAGGAGACCCCAGGGTATCTCATCCCCAGCCTGTCTTAGAGCCTTCCTCGATGCCTCTCAGCTCATGGCCACATTCACCTCCTGCTCCTCCAGACAATTTCTTCCCATGTCCCACCATCCAAGCTTGGACTCCCAGGATTCTTCTTAGTCAGCAGAAACTTGTGTTTCCTTCCTGTTGCCCACCTGCCCACCCACCCATCCATCTCTCCACCAATCATCTACCCACACATCCAACCCTCCATCTAAGAATTCATCTATTTACCCATTCCCCAATTTATCTATATGCAATCAACCCACCCATCCATTCTATTTACTGTTCGTTTCATTCATCCATTTACCTATTTATCCATTCACCTATACTCACCTAATCACCTGCTAATTCATCCATCCATCCATCAACCTATCTACCACTCTACTCTCTAATCTATACATTCATTTGCCTGCCCATTCATATTCCCATCTATCCATCCATCCATCAGTTTATACATCCACCCACTCATTCACTTATTTATACATCTATTCATTCAGCCATTCATCCATTTACTATCTACTCACTCATTCAATTTTTTATCCATATATCCATCTATTCACCTACCCTTCCATTCACTCATTCACCCATCCACCAGTCTATCTGTTCATTTGTACGAATTGCATCCATTTATCCATCCTTCCATCAATCCACATGCCCACTCACTCCTCTGTTGCTCCCCCAATCTACCCACACATCTACCCATCCATCAATCTAACCATTCGTCCTCTTATCCTTCCATCTATCTACTCATCTACTTGTACACACCCAGTCATTCATCCACTCTCACACACCCACCCATCCATTCATGCATCCACCAATCTACCCATCCATGGAGTCATCCATTCATTCATACACCTGTTCTCTTTCTCCTATCCATTTAAACTTCCACCCATTCATCTACCCATCCCTAAGCACTCTCTTCAGTCTATACAGTCAGCCTAGTAGGGTATCTTTTGTTACAAGGGAGCAAAGCCCAAAAACCCAATGCTTGGGAGTCACTTCCTGCCAGCCCTGATCCCCTCATCCCGGTATAAACATTCCCAGTCCTTCTTGCCCTCTGGGTGGCCATCTGCATTCCTCTAGAGAGAGGACTTGCCAAGGACAACATTGCTTTCCAGGTGAGAGCATACTAATCTTTTTAGTTGGTGTTAATGACTACTGTCCAGAAAAGGGCTCCACTTCTTATCTCAGGCTCCTGGTGGCCCTCACCTTCCCATTTTCAGCCCAGTGAGCTGCCAGTTGCCACATGTCTCCAACGCCCAGGTCTGACCCCACCCTGCTGCCTATACCCTCTCACACTGCCTCCCTGTCTCCCCCTAGCCCTCTCACCAGCACTGCACTGAGATCAGGGGCCTTCCTACTGCTTGCCCCTTCCTTTGCGGCCCTGCCAGACACACACATGGACCCCAGTACAGCCAAGACTGGTCCCATGAAGAACTGCAATTGAGGAGCCTCGTTCTGTTCCAAGTGGCCCTGTGTGAAGATGACAGGAGCAGGCAGAGCCTGTCCCTCCCAAGAAACCAAGGCACCTTCTGGTGAACAGTGGGAACTAGCCACCTTTTCTCTCAGCTAGTAGGAAGCTCAGAACTAGCCCAGGGTTCCACCTTTGCTCCATTGGTAGCCTTGGCCCCTTTCTCTAGTGACCGGAGCTTTCCAGCTTTTCCTGTTCATAGGATCAGAGCTCCACTCCACACAGATCGGCCTGTGTGTAACTGTATTGCTGGACATGGCCAATGGCCTCCTGTCCCCTCTTTCCCATTTCCACTGTCAGATAAGAACTCACTGGGGACAGATCTCCTCCTCCATTGGAGAGCACTTGTCCTAGTCACAAGTGTCCTAGTTACTTACCCTGGGTTCTGCGGAAATGTGCATCCTCGTCGCTAGAGCTGTGTTATCACGTAAGGACAGTGCCTACTACCTGAGGGTCTGACCAGGCCTAGCTAAGTGGAGTCTGTTGACTTAAAGTCTTCTGAAATTTGTGCTTATTTATGCTTTTCCTTTTTAAAATAAAAACATTTAAAGACCTGAACTCAGCTAATCTAAGTTCTTTAATATGTTTCTTTTATGAAATCAGGGAAGCATTGAGTACATCTGTCTCTTCTCTCATCCAGGGTTTTTGCAGGGACCTCTGGGGTTTTCAGATTCCTGAGTGACCACAGCAGTGCTGTTCAGGGAAGCTGGCCCCCTGGCTGTGAGCCAGGAACTTTAGGGTGACAGGAGAGGTAGCCAGTGGATAAGGCACATGCCTACCTCCACAGCTCATAGATTCCCTTTGGGGAACTCCCTGCTTGGTGGAATCCCAGATGAGGAGGTGGCCTAGGGAATACACGGGACCTGCCACAGAAGCAGGGGCTGGATAGGAACTTGGGCTGGACTCTGAGCCAGTGCAGAGCAGCAGTTCTGCTGTGCCTCTCTGCATCCTTCTGGGGACAGCTCTGGGAACCTTGACAACTGAGGGTGGGCTAGCCTTGGACCCAGAGGTCTGACTGGGTCCAAGGCTGGGCAGTCATGGCAAGTGTATGACTGGCTGAGCTGCTCTGCCTGTTCCAAAGCGAGCACAAAGCCCTCTGAGCCTTCCCTGTTGTGGGGAGGGAAACCTAGAGGACCTTGGAATGATATGACATCTGAATGATGGCCTGGGTAGGGAAAATGGGGAGACAAAGAGCTCAGGAGATGGGGGTCATGCCTATCCCAGCTGGGGGCAGTGCAGGATAGCCCAATATCCCAGGAGGCCAGTGTGCAAGGCAGTACTGAGGAAACTTCCAGAGCAGGGGGCCTACATAGGCTAGGTGTTGTGGGGCCTTGGGGAAGGAGTAAGGAGGCAAGAAGACATCAGGGCATAACCCTTTCTCACGGTTGAATCAACCTTTGTTTGGAGGTTGAGATACGGGGTTACCAAAAGGCAAGAAGTGGTATAGGAGCCAGGGAGGGGCTTGTGTGCTGAGGTGGGAGGGAACCAAATGCTGAGGAGCTGTCACAGACAGTTGGCTGGGGTTCCTTGACCTGACCTGGTAGAAATCACAGATAAGCAAAGGGTAGCTCTCTTGTTGTTGATATTCCTGAGAAATAGGGGCTCACAGACTGGGCGTCTAAAGTTCCGAGAATTATAGCTCCAGAGCATTGGGTGTGGGGATCCTCTGCTCCTCAGCTCTCGTCACCACTCTCCACATCTAGAGGCTATGAGACTCTGCACTCTCTTTGGGCTCTTCATACTCTTTCGGTTTGTAGTATTGTTCTTGGCCATTTTCTTTCAGAGTCTCCCTTCTGTTGATCTCCAGACTCTTCAGAGCTTCAGGTGTCAGGGTCTGTATCTCTTGGCAGTTCTCTAGAACTCTCAGCTCCCTTTGGAGCTTCAGCTCTGAACTTTGGGTGTCAGGGTCTATAGCTCTCTATGTCTGTATGGAACTCTAAGCTCCATTTGGGGCTACAGCTTTGAGCTTTGGGTGTCATGGTCTATAGCTCTCCATGTCTGTGTAGGACTCTCAGCTCCTTTTGGGGCTACAGCTCTGATTTATTGGGTGTCTATAGTTCTCAGTGCCTATCTGGAGCTCCTAGCTGTCCTCTTGGGGCTGCCAAGAACTTGGGGTTTTTTCATCTGCTTTTTGTGCAACCAGTTCAGCCCACTCCATCTGTGATAAAGATCAGAAGTAGGCAAAAAACCAGTCAGGAATAAGCCTTTATAGGGTCTGAGGGATGTGTCCTTATATAGCTAGAAAGAGCATGGTAGGATTCTACCAATCACAGCACAGCTTCCTGTCCACCAATCGCAAGTCTCTCACAAACACAGCCACTTTTCTGTCAATCACAAGTCGTTTGTGATGGACAGCTCTCACTGGGGGAAATTCTGCCCCACCCCACCCTACCCTACCCCACACAGAACTTGCTGAAGACTGCTTCTGCCAGGGATGGCGGTCACCAAGGCTTCTCAAGGCCAGAGTGAGGCATCCCAGAACTGTCTGGAGCTGGCCTGACTGGAGTAAAACCTCCTCCTGGCTCCAGAGGCAGCTGTAGTTAGAGTTTGTTGCAGCTAGAGTGGAGGGCCCCATCTGCGCCCCCAAGGACCATGGAGTGTGCACAACCACCATATGGGCTGCCAAAGAAGGATTTGCCTGGCTTATAGCCCCTGTTAAAAGCAGTGAGGCAGAAGGGCCTGTCAAGCTGTCATTCTGGTCACTCAATGACCTGTTCCTAAATGCTTGCCCTATTTAAAGAAGGAACGAACTCAGAAACACTAAAATCTGCTTACATTAAAGAACCTGTATGGAAATAATGTTACCCATGTCCCCTGTTTACCCTTAGGGTCAGGTGCCCTTCCAACCTAGTCTCAGAATGAGCCCTCAAGTATGAGGCCCTGGCTAGAGCTTTGTGCTTGATGTTATTTGGAGGTGTGTGGTGGCAGTGGTACTTATTGTAGCTACTGCTCTAAAGGTCCAGAACATTCTCAGGTATCCAGCTGTCTTATCCCTTTAAGGTAACCCCCCTTCCCTATTTTGGGATTCTGTTGCTGATGCCTGATGCTCATTAAAGTGGGGGGTACTTAGGGGGCAAAGTGAAGATTCCCATCTGTGCTAGTCTCTTTCCTGTTGGGCTGCACGTACCTTACAGAATGATTTTCCCACAGAGATCAGGGCAGGGTGGAAGGGTTGACAGATATAATTGCTCTAGCCTTGGGGACAGAACCCAGCCCCAGCTCTGTACCAACAGTGTGTCTAAATACCCAGCCTCTGTGCTTAGGGCTGGGGTACTGCCAGGTGACCTGAAATGGTAATCCCCTATCTTAGGATGTCCCTCAAAGGTACCCCAGGCTGCTGCTTTGCCAGGAAGGCATCTCCCATTGGAAAGGGATGAGGCCCCACACCTGTGGGAAGCTGAACTTTGTGCTTTTTAAACATGGCCTTAGGCTAAAGGCCAGTGGAGGTGTCGAAGGAGGGGCATCCTGGATACCCAAGCTTGAGAGTTGGGCTTCATCCTGTCCTGATTCAAGGTTCCTAGATTTAGGTGGCATCCACAGTGAAGTCCCATACTCCCCATTTCCCCTCCCACCCTCTCTTTGCTTGAGCTGAATTTTCAAGTGATTATGGGACATCACTTGAGTATAAGAAGCACTGTGCCTAAACCCCACCTGCTGATCCCTCAGTTAAGGGCATCCCCATTCTCCCTGAGTCCTATGCCCTTCTGACACCCATCTGCAAGTCCCTAGGCCCTCCCTCCTGGGTAGATCTTCATTGGCCCCACATTTACTCTATCATTCAACATCACCAGCCACCAGAGCCCTAGCTCACTATGGTGCTACTCTAGCCACACCACAGTGCCTCCCATAGGCCTCAGAATGACAGCCGAGTGTGTGTGTGTGTCCATGATTCAGGTAGAATCCAGAGCCTTCCAGCCCAGCTCCCCTGGGTATTGTTGCTATTCATTCATCGTTTGCTCTGGATAATAGGTTATTCTAGCACCATGTGTTCAAAGGACTCTCCCCAACCCCAGTGGTTTCCCAGCTTTACCATATATCAAGTTGTTCATCCTTGTCCTAGTGCTGCATGGCTTAGTGCCTGTGCTCTCCCAGGAAGTCCTGAGGCAGGTGGTCTGAGCGCCTGTGGCTCTCCTAGGAAGTCCTGAGGCAGGTGGTCTGAGCGCCCATGGCTCTCCCAGGAGGTCTGAGCCCTCTCACTCTGTTCTTCCTCATCATCTCTGCTCTCTGAGCTCCCTTTGTTCCAGATACAGCTGAAAATCAGCTTTTTTATTTGTATGGAAAGAAATCAAAAGCCTGATGGCATTTCGATTGGAGCTGCAATGTGTCTGTCAAATACTTTGGGGTCAATTGTCAGTTTAACAGTGCTGCACCCTCAGATCCAGGATCACAGCATCTAGCTCTTCTCAGCATATGTTATACTGAGTATACACTATACTGGCCAATCTCTGATGTCCTGCTACCAGGAACTACAAGCAAATTTGACTTTGGTATGTTGAATACTTGATAATTCATGGGTTCTAGTAGCCTCTTGGTAGATTTCGCTGAGTTTCCTATTGTAGATGATTGTATGGTCTGTAAGTAGACAGTCCTTTCATTTTCCACCTGAATGGCCCACCCTAATTCCTAAAACATTGAATAAAGTTTTTGGGAATGGCCTTCCTTGTCTGGTCCCTGCTGGAAGAGGCATCCGGTCTTATACCCGTAGGTATACTGCTGGCTAAAGTCATTTTTGTTTTTGCTTTTTTTAAAAAATCAAGTTGAAAACTTCCCTTCTGTTTCTTGCTTCTCATAGGTACACAATGTAAGATTTGGCCCACTGTTTTCTGTGTGTCTGTTTAGCTAGTAGCATGCTTTCTTTTTTAGTCTATAATATAACTAATATTAGCGGGTTCTTATTTTTTTTTAAGTATTGGAGACTGAATCCTGACCAAATACAAGGCAGGCAAGTGCTCTACTGCTGAGTCATATTCTCCAGCCCTCTTCCAACTTTTTATTTTAAATCAGGGTTTCAGTTCATTACCGGGGTTGGCCTTGAACTCACTTTGTACCTCAGACAGGTTTTGAACTTGCCACTCTCCTGGCTCAGCCTCTGGAGTAGTTGGGGTGACAGACCTGTGCTACTAGGTCAGGCTGATCTTTAATGTTAACCGTCCTGTGCACCTCTCAGCCGTAATGTATTATGTATGTGTTTGGTGTGTTGGGTCTGATTTGCTGTGTTTGTATCTCCTCCAAGACAAGAGGTTATTGGTTTACTTTCTGGGTTTGGTCAGGAGACACCAGGGTCACTTTCAGTCCCCTGGAGGCATCTGTAGAACCTGGGCTGTTTCTCCCTTAAACTACTGGTTTCAGCTTCGACATCATCTGAGCTCTTTGTGGGAAGATTTTTAACCACTCATCAGCTTCTCTACTAGATGGAGGGCTTCCAGCCATTCATTTCTCCCTGAGTGGACCTAAGTGTTTGGGGCTTTCCAGACCCTGAGTGGTGGAATGCACGGACACGAGCAGTGGATAGCTCCCCTAGCAGCCCTGTGAGGTCTGAGGGTTCACAGCAACAACTCATCTCGGATTTTTGACATTGGTAACTATCTGTCTTTTCCTCACGATCACATTGGGCAATGATTTATCCATTTTATTGATTTCAGAGGATTGGATTTTGGTTCATTTCTATCTCTGCTGGGCTGTTTTGAGACTCATTGGTTTATGTTCTCGTCTTTTCTTCTGCTTTCTTTGAGTTTCATTTGGCCACCTTTTTCTTGTTTTGTTTTGCTTTGCTTTTTGTTTTCAAGAAAGGGTTTCTTTATGTAGCCCTAGCCATCCTGGAACTCACTCTGTAGACCAGGCTGGTCTTGAACTCACAGAGATCCACCTGCCTCTGCCTCTGCATGGGATTAAAGGCATGTGCCACCACTGCTTGGCCTTTTTCTTTAAAGGGAATTTGAAGCCACTGGTTTGATACTTTCCTCTTTAAATTAGAAAAAAATTACTGGGGCTGGAGAGATGGCACAGCAGTTTAAAGTACTTCCTGATTTTGCAGAGGACCTGGGTTCAGTTCCCAGCACCCAGCTGTTAACTCCATTTCCAGGGGATCTGATGCTCTCTTCTGGCCAACATTGGCATTGCATGCATGGGATGCACATACTACATACTACATACTACATAGACAAAATACTCATATATATATATATATATATATACATATATATAACAAAAATTAATAAATCTCTTTAAATTTTTATTGTTTCTGCAGGGGTGTGTGTGCCATGGCATGCAAGTAGAGGTTTAGAGGACAACTTTGTGGGGTCAGTTCTCTCTGTCCATCTTTATCTGGGTATCAAGCTCAAGTCACCATGCTTATACCACAAGTACTTTTACCTGCTGAGCCACCTCGCCCACCTGAGTCATGTTTTTTCTGACATGGGTGTTTAGTTGTGCTCTTTGCTTAAGGAACAGCCTCTGCTCCCTGAAAATTTTAGTTAGTAATATTTTCATTGACGCAGTTGAAAATAATCTCTCATTTCTCTTTTTGATCTCATCTCTGAAAATGGCTTCTTGTCTCTTCTTAAGCATTTGGGTTTCACAGACTCTTTCTATTGTTGATTTCTGGTCCGATTCCACTGTGTTTAGGGAATTCTAGTGAAATGAAAACCTGAAATGTGTCAAGCCTTGCTTTGGGTTCAGAAACTGCCCTGGTGGTTTCATGACTAGAGCAGCCAGGATTGAGGGTGAGGAAAGCCGGGGAGGGGAGGGTTTGGGGAGGCCCTTGAGAACTGCTCCTCATTGTGACCAGTGCTCTCCGGTATAGTCAGGTGATGTTGCCTTTACAGAGAAATATGAGTTCAGGCCCCAGTGGGGTATCAGCAGTGGGGAAGCTAGAGGGGGCTGGAGTAAGGAAGGAGCTCAGCTGGGGGCAAAGGTGAGGGGTCAGATGAAGGGGAGGGAAGGGACTAAAGCCACCTTCCAGGAGCAGATTAGAGCCAGACATGTCCAGAGAGCAGTCAGGACCGGGCAGCCCCAGGCCCCTACTCAATAGCAAAATGGCTCCTGGTTCCCCACCCTACCAAGTCTCCTATGGGTTCCCTTCTCAAGGGCAGAGACCGTGCAGCCTAACTGAGTCCACTGTGTTCATTTCCAGACTGGAAGAAGCGCTTCATTGGCATCCGGATGCGGACCATCACACCAAGGTGAATGCCGTGGGTGACATCCCTCTGTCCTGTCCTCCCGAGACCCCTTCCACATGCTGACCACTATGGGCAGCGGCTGGCAGGTGCTAGAGAGGTCAGGCCCACTACCACTGCCTGATGGATTCCCTCTGCTCCTTCACAAATCTACTCAGATGCCCCATCATCCAGGAAGCTCCCAGGCTTTGCTTCCTGAGGTTCCCACAATAAGTGATTAAAACTGGGTGGTTTAAAACAACAAAAATATATTACTTGAGAGTTCTGGTGCCCACAGGCCTCACTCTCTGAGGTTCCAGGGTTCATCCTTCCTGTGTGTCTTGACTCCTCCTGGCCATGGGCATTCCTCAGCAGGCTGTCATATCCCTCATCCCCGCCCACCTCCACATGGCCTCCTCCAGCCTGTGTCTGAGCCCCAAAACTGCCAGTCACTGGATATGAGAGCTGCCCAGGTCCATGACTTCATCTCAAGGTCCCTGACCAACTAGCGTGGCAAAGACCTTGTTTCCAAACATGGTCATGTTCTGAGGTCCTAGTGGACATTTCTCCATCTCCACAGGCCATTGTACACCCACTTTCCTTTAACACTGTGGTATAATCGCCTGTCTTGTGACCTTCCCTCCCTACCTGCCACCTTGACTGTGAGTTCCAAGGAGATGGCTGTGTTCCCACCCTCCTCTTGGCTCTGGTCCTGATGGAGGTTCAGAACAGGGCAGCTGTCTGGAATTACAGGATGAAATGATAAAGAAGGGGGTTGGGGAGGCAGGTGGGGGGAAGATTTACTACATTGTGAAGTTCTGGGGATAACCCGGGGATATCCACTAGCCACCCCTAACTCACTCTCCTGCTTAGGTAGCTGTCAATCTAGGTAACAGATTTTAAACAATCTGCAGTTAAGACCAGTATACCAACTCATCTTTGTATTGTGTGCTTCCACAACCAGCCACTCACTTCCATCTATCCAGTCTTTTCTCTCCACTCCATGACTGATCATTCTCCACCTCTCCAGCC